TATAAAAAAAATAAAACTTTAAAGGACTGTACTGCAAAATTTTATTAATGCAACTACTTTTGTATTTTAGATAAAAAATGATCCTGATATTATTTTAAATTGATTTATATAAAAAAATTACTTTTGAAAAAATTGTTAATTTGGTCCCTTTTTCTAGCTTCTAGCCCATATAGTTGAAAATTTATATAATAATAATCATTTGTACAATTAAAACTTTGCACGAAAAAATTAGCATAAAAACTCAATCTATCTTCATACTGTTTGACAGTATTTTTATCAATTTTTTCATATTGGTTAACAATATCTTAAATAATCATATCCTTTTCTTCAATAATTCTTTTAAGACATTTAATAGATTCAATATAAACTTCTTCAATTTCTTTAATTTGTTTATTTAATCGTTGAATTTCTTTTTGTTGATTTTGATGAATTTTTCTTTCTTCTCTCAAATCAAATTGAGCATCGTATAATTCTTCATGTAAAGTAATATTAGATATTTTTCTTTAAGAGTTTTTGAATATGGATATATTTCTTTACCAGTTTGTTGTATGAAAATTAAATCATTTAACATTTAAATAAAATTAAAAAAAACTAATGTTTAAATAAGAAAATCAACTAGTTCTATTTTTTTTAGAAGATACTTCTTCTAAAATTTTATTAGTTCTTTTTTTATCTTTTCAATATGTAAATAATTGATTTACATTTAAATAATCAATTAAATATCTAATCTTATGGTTTAAAAATTTTTTACGCCACTAAACAGTATCACTAATAATAATTTCTTCTTTCTCAATTCCCTTATTTATTTTTTTAGATTTTTCTATTATTTCTTCAATAGAATTTTCACCATTACGATATTTTATATCCCATAACATATTTTTAAATTTACATTTATCTCTTTTTTCGAATATAATTTGTATGGTTCTTTTATTAGGATCATCATTCCATTTTCTATCAAATCTGATTATATAATCAAGTCTATACTTGAATTGGTTAAAATCTTTTTTATTATCATCTTCTCTATCATATTGTCTAAAATTATATGCTTCTTCAAGTGGTTTAGTAGCTGTTAAACAGATATATTTAGCTAAAAGTGTTCAAAGCCACCGTATTTATGTTCAACTTCAAAACACGAATCATTTAATAAATTTATCATTTCATTCCAATCAATTTTCGTATAAAATTTATCAATTAAAACTATTTATTGTCCTGTATAACCATTTCAATAAGAACTATTTGTTCGCTGTTTCTTTGGTTTATCATAAAGTTCTTCTCTGAATAATTCTAAAAACTATTCAGTTTTTTCCACACCTCCAGGTTTATAACAATAAAACGTAAGTGGATGCCAGAATTTTTCCCCCCTTTTGTTTTTTTTAGAAATTTTTGTTTATCATTAATTACTTTTTCTGCATTGGTTGGAGTTGTAAACCAATTAGCTGGTATTTTATTTTTATCGATATTACTTGTTCATATGTAAGTTCTTAATTACGAATTTCGATCATTTGTTTTATATCATCCAATCATAATTCATTTATATCTTCTGATGCATCATTATTATCAGAACCTTCCAAAAATCAATAAGTTTCAAATTTAAAAGGACCAACTA